AAGCCAAGGCCATTGCGCTCTGTCTGGGGCTAGTCTGGCTTATGAGCTACATAACGCACACTGACATTCACACGGTTTCTTCCCAGGCCACTCTTTAAATCCTTTCATGGGGAGGCTACCATCTAGGCAGCAAAGCATATTTGATTTTACAAAATGTTTTAAACCACTACATACTGTTTGCATGTGTTTGTGATACAAAACCAAAATTATAAATCATCATGCAAATTTTATATTATTTTGTGTCATGAATCAGAACTCTGTTTTCCTCCCCTGATTTTAGATTACTAGTTGGCCCCTTATTCCTTTTCTACTGACTCTTTTCTAAACACTTAGAAATTTTTAAATCTAAAAAAAAAACCCTCCTTTTTTTTAAAAAAAAAAAGAAAAGACTTTCACTTTCACGAGGAACAGCTCTAAAACCCAGGTATACTTTCAGGGTCAGAGATCTTTTCTTTTTTTTTAAATAAGCCTACGCTAAAGCATGGAAATTAAGAAACTAAGCCAATCCTGCTGCCAGCGAGGATTATTCTCATTTACCAGACATATTACATCCCCTTTAGGACCTGGAATTCCAAGCAAGGTCTGTAATCTCATTGACAGAGCATGAGGTCTCTTTGTTGTCTGTGGGTGCCTGAGTTCAGGGGCTTAAAGCAACAGCCATTTCGTGGAGTTGCAATTCCAAGGGTCAGCAGTTCAGGCTACTCTCCACCACACTGCTTCTCTGCTGGACTCGCCTACCAGGATGAGCAACTCCTCTGACTTTGCCAGGGACTATCGCAGGTATAGCGCTAGCAATCCAGTGCCTAGGGAAACCCACTGGTCTCCAGCAAAATGGGATGGCTGGTCACCCTATTCCCAGGGTCACACACCTGCAGTACCGGGGGCTCAGTGGAGAGGTTGCTCAGGACAGTTGCTCTGACAGCTCCAGTGGCCGGTGCTGCTGGTCAGGATGTATGTGTATCTCCACCAGGGCAGCCAGGCTCCCAGAAGGAGGGAATGCCAGCCCCACAGCGCGAAGCTCACACCACCCTGCTGACTGACATTAGCTGGACCAAGTCTTGGGCCAAGCAAATCAGTGACTGCAAGGGCATGGAGACAAGAAGCCATGTTCCCCTGGGGACATTAGCACAACCAGGTCACAATCAAGCATAAGATCCTGTTTGAACCCACCATGGTGCAGGGGTTACCCCTGGTATGTCAAAGGATCCCTCATTCCTAGGGGCACAATCCAAGGAAGTATTACCTCATGGGGAAAAAATAAGGCAGAAAATTCTAATGCTATTTTTGCTACTGCTGACATTTGTCCCTGTTTTGAGGAATCAAAGAATTTTCATCTGGCAGTTTCAGGCAGCCACGAATGAGTAAAATGTAGTGATACTAGCAGGAACTCCAGCCTCCTGGCTGGGAGGTGTCCTTAGGGATCAGGAAGCAGACAGGTGCCTCAGCTGACCCAGTTGTGCTGGCTCTAGGCAACCATTGTCTCAAGAAGGATTCAGAAGAAAGCCCAGCTTTTTGTGATTGGAATCAAGCTTGTCTTACTCAACACCCTGCTCTTCCAACTAGGCCTCTCTAGACTCCTAGCCCAGGGCCTGCTTCTTATCTCTGCCCCCAGAGTGACCTCAGAAGGCTCACAGAAGGCTCACAGACCCTCAGAAGGCTCAGAAGGCTCACAGACCTCAGAGTGCCAACAGAAGGCTCACATTCCTCCCTCACCTCTGTGAGTCTATAAAAAGTAAAGAAATCATGCAAGAAGGTAAATCTAAAAGTATAGCGTACAAATGCATTGACCAGCCATTACTTAGTCAGTCTTTTCAGAATTCCAATTTAAATAATGATACAATACTTAAAGAACAAAATTGTTCAAAATGTTATGTTTTAATCTGCAATATCATTTTACTGAAGAATTGAATTCTCGTTGAAAATAATTCTCTCTTCCCCATAAGTGTTCTGAGTCATGGGCCAACTAAAAATCTCTGGTTACATAATTGAAAATTTTATGGTTCATCTGCATGTTGATTGACTTGGCGTGATTGAGTCCTAAGGGAAATTGTGCCATTTCACTTCTGATCAAATTCACATTGCAATCCACATGTCCAGATTCCTCATTGCAGCCACAGTGTGAAGTGAGCAGAAATTGAGAGCCAATTTATTTTCTGAGAGAACAAAATGAAGGTTTCCTTTAGATTTCTGAGCCTATTTTAATTACTAATAATTTTTGTTTAATTTTAGGATATTTATCTTTTATTATGAAGTCATGCTTTCTAATATTCTGACCCCCAAAGATCACAGGAAGTATGTTAAAATGTGAAATAATTCTTTACGTCAGATTGCAATAGATAGGCAAAATTATCCAGTAGAAAAGGTTTTTTATTAAAATGCCACTGTGTTTTCATATAGCACAAAGTAGAATCACTATAAAATAGACAAAGGAAGTTCAGCAACTCCTTGGAATTCTATGGAAATTATAGGGTGTGCCCTCAAGCATAAAGAGTTAGATCTGGGTTCAGTGAAGACAGCCAACTACACACTTGGAAAAACGTATTTGCAAATGAGAGCGCAAAGAGCTTTCGCCATACAAAATGACCTTACTATTCTTTTGCATTTTAACTTTATAAACTTAAATGGGAAAACTGATGTAAAAGCATAAGCTGGTGGACCACAAGGAAAAAGGAAAGCATACTTATTACCAGCCTCATTAGATTTCATGTAAAATAAAAAGCTGATTTCCATTAAATATTCAGAAAAGTTACAATTCTATGACTTAAAGAATAAAGAATCTCTAATGGGAACATGTTGCTTCCATAGTGACATTAATTTTAAAAGACATCCCAAGAATAAGAGCTGCTTTTTTTTTTTTTAATAGCAAGAAACTCAAAACCCAACCAGTGCTATTATGAACTATTCACAAAGTACTTTAGTGGATTAAAAGATACATGGACACAGAGCTACATTAAAACACTTCTACAGCATGTTAACATTCTGAAGGGAACAAAATCAACAGGAATATTTTGGAAGAAACAAAGAAGCATGATAAACAAAGAAGAGATTTTTGGAAATGGGACTAGTGGAAAAGTTTTAAGCAATATACAGTAATATATTTAAAATTAAAAAGAGAGAGCAGAAGGAATAAACTGCTTCTCCTCATTTCATCTGAGGAGGACATAATATGGCACATTACAATATTTTACCTTTAATGTGTGAGGAAACAGCCATCCTTCTCTTGTTTCAGTAAATCAATGCACAAAAGTTAACTCATATTTGGGTGGTGGGTTCTGGATTTCATTCACAAATTTAGTTGTGTGTGATTTATCACAATGTTAATATTCTTTAGAGCCACTGAAACTCAACTCAGTTCCCTTCACAAAATGAGTCAGGAGTTCAGTCTACTTTTCAGGACAGCTCCTCCTTCTCAAAAAGGCAGAGAGTTCTAGAATCTCACTCAAGCCACACGAGCAGGGTCTCCCTTCTTTTCTGATCACCACCAACAGTTAACAGGGAGCCCTCTCCCTATCCACTGGCTTCCTTCAAATCCAGGGGTTCTGCCAATTTCATGCAAAACAAAGTTTGTCAAGGCCAAGGTCTACACATAAAAAATATTCTTGAAGTGAAATAAATTGATGCCATCTTAACATGTAAAATCTTTGAAAATTAATACGGGTAGACAAATTCACATTCCTTTTTAATTTTTATAGTTTGCAATTTATTTTTTATTTATATACATTTTACATCTTTGTTCATTTTTAAATAGTGCTTGCTCACTGCTCAAGTGCTCCATACATGTTATCGAAAGCAAATCTTCAGTTGGTGTGTACATTGTCACATCTAATCCATTTGTGTATCTTTTTAAATGTATACTTTCCACAGTTAATGCCTTGTACTTTCATTTATAAATATACTGTTCAAGAATTTTTAAAAACTATGTTGAAAGTGTGTTTATAAACTGGCTTGGTCTGCATGAAGGTATTCCCTAGCTGTTACCAGTCACATTTATACAGTAGTCTCTATTCATTCCCAAACACTGAGACAGAGACGTTGAGGGAACAAGTTCAAGGTCTTTGAAAACAGAGGATCTAAGTGCAGACCCAATTACACCACACACTAGCTCCAACTTCGGGCAACATTCCTGTCTATTTCTTCAAATAATACATGGGGATCATATTCATACAGTATTGTTAAGGGTTCAGCACAGCAAAGCTCTCAGCCTAGAAACCAGCATACAGTGAGCCCTCAAAAATTCAACAGATACCTTTCAACCACTTAAACCCTTAGAGCAGCAGCCACAGACTAAACACTGTAAGTTATGTAACAAAGGTGAATATAATGCCCCCTAGTGGATTGGAGTACTTGAAAATTATTTGATCAAGAGGATTATCTCCTCCGAAGACAAAAAAAAAGCCTAAAAACTTATGTAGTTAAAGTGAGAAGACCTAGTATAAATTCCAACTTCAGAATGTTTACGAAAGAACCAATTCTGGTTGGTTATTTGATTCTAACTGATCATTCACAGTCTGTAAAGTGAGCAGAAGTTGTGTTTGGTGCTGGTCAACATCTATGTAGAATTTAACTCCAAGATACTGTCTGTGATGCTCTTTTCTCTGTTTTTATCTGATAGTGAAAGTCTCTTTTCACTTTAAGGGAAAGTCCTAAAACAGAGTGATCCTTCTCAAAGTGTAATTACTCCTAGGTATGTCTTTCTTGCTAAAGATAAACACGTCCAGCAAATGTGGCTCCAACCGGCACTAGTTGCATTTGAAACTGAACTTCAAAGTCTGAGGCTCTTGGGAACCCCAAGATGAACTGCAGACTGAAGGAGAATCCTGAATCTACTTACAGATACCCGGGGCTGAAAAACCCCACACCCTTTACCACCGAAACACGTCCTGACATTTACTCCCCCGCCTCTCACCCCCACCTCCTCTCCCCTCCCCCAAGCAACAAGCCCTTACCCCTGGTGTTAAGGTGTTAATAGTCCTTTAAAGATGATTTTATTCATTTCACAGGTCTCCCGTTATGGCTGGAGGTCTCTTCGCTGTGGACCGAAAATGGTTTTGGGAGTTAGGTGGCTATGATCCAGGTTTAGAAATCTGGGGAGGAGAACAATATGAAATCTCTTTCAAGGTAAGCCCCTCAAGCCGCTCTTCACACTCGGTCTTGGTATTTTTGACAATTGTCATAGGATATCGTTTTGCTTTGTGAGAGGGTTCAGTGAAAATAAGCGTGGCCTCTTAGAGACGAGAGAAGCCACTTCCTTCCCTCCCTTATGACACATGAGTCCAGCTGTGCCATAAAGGAGATGCAGAGAAAGAGTAATTCATAGTCCTATTTGCAGGCAGAGAGGGTGGTGTACCCAGGCCTATCGCGCCGACAAGGACCTTCCTTCTAGAAAGCTTAGCCCAGAGTTGACCAGTGAACATAAAAGCAATTGAGTTATTGCGTTTTTGTCCTTTGTAGTAGTTCCACTTGAAATGTATTGAAATGTATTCCAACATGTCAATATCAAGCCAATTTTAAAAACTGAGTGACAAATTAAAACTATTCTTCAGATAATTCCAAAAGAGAGTTTTTAAAGTGACTTTTATCTGAAATTGCCCAGGTCTCTACAGCGTCAGCTACAAATATCCAGTAAAATGATATACTTCATTACTTCTGTATGCATGTATATGATAGAGTATCACATTCTAGGGTTTATGAATGAAAAGAACTTTTTTTATTCTTTATATATCATATATTTTTTCACCTCACTCTTCATTTTGTACATTTTCCATCTCGGTGGTAATCCCCATGGACTTCCCACCCCCAATTCACCCATGAGCCGCCACCACAGTCCTGTGCACTTTTCCTGTCCCAGTTTTGAAGCTCTTCCCCTTTCCGCCCTGTAGAATGAAAAGAATACATCAAAACACATGGGAACAGATAAGCACAGCAAACTGTGAAAGACCAGGCTCCAAAATCCAAGAAAATTTTGCTTTGCGAAAACACTCACGAAAAGGAAAAACACTTTTCTTTCTTTCCCTTTCCCGTTGTCATTGTCATTCTTTATATGAAAGTATAAACTGATTCTTACAAAATGTATCCTACGCAGGTCTCCTGCGAAGTAAGTCAGTTTTTCCTAATCATAGCTATTACAAAATCAAACCAATTTTTGTTGACCAAAAAAGGTCAGACTTAAGACTCTAAGCTTTTTAAATTTATGCCCAAAAAGGAAGTAATAAAATGGATTTTTACAAAATCCCCACTGCTATATTCAATGTGTTAGCAGAAATGTGATGTGTGTTCTCAAGTGTCATAAATAAGTATCCTCAAACTGACACTCAGGAGGCAGGATTGCAGGCTTCAGGACATCTAGGATTTTTCCTCTCCCTATGCTAGCAGTAATCCTTAAAATACCACTTACGAAATTAGTGCTTTTTATTTCCCACAATCATTCAAAAAAGCATCTAATTTCACATCTAAGGGTAGTTTTCCCCTTAATTTTATTATAGACACCTAGTTTCGTTTTTTTAAAGATTTATTTATCTATGCTTACAAGAACTGGGGTACAGACCAGAGGTGTGGGAGGTGAGAAGATTCACCAGAGATAGAGTGGGGAAAGCACAGGCAGAATGATTGAAAGACACTGCTGAGGGGAGCAGCGGGCTGGACAGGAGAGGTCTGCTGCACCATATGCGTCACCTCCCTGGCCAGGGATCGAACTCGTGCTACAGTAGCTGTGGATAGCTTCATAGTGCTACACTTTAGCCATTACACCACCAGAGAGGGCCCTAGATGCCTAGTTTTAAATCCTTGTATTTACTCGTGTCTTTTGGGTTCTTCTGTTCTAGTAAGAGTTCTCGTCACAGAATACATGGCAAAACATACAAGAATAATGGTAATATGGCAGGAATAGTCTCTACATAGTGATATTATGCTAGATGCTAACTGCTTCATGTGCATTATCCAATTTAAAATCATAGATATTACTCCATATTATAGATGAAGAAACAAGATAAGTTTAAAGATTTTAGATGAAAACTTAAGTTTTAAAAATTAGAATGCATTGTCTGGTTTCACTGAAGGACAAAAAGACTCCATTCCTACTTAATTGCAGAGAATGGAAAAGCAGAAAAAGAGTCTGTTATGACCCAGATCACCATTCAGAATTCACTGATAAGCTTTTTGTTCTCCAACTAATGCTGCCTCTTGCTGGCCAAAGGTTAATATATTCACCATACTTTAATAACACACAAACAAACTTTCTGCTGACCCTGGAGAAATACTATTGATTATCGGGTAGATATTGTCCAAAATTGGGTGCAGAGTTTACAACACCACCTTCAACTGGAATAACAGAATATTACATTTGACCCCAGGATTTAAGGGGAAGGCATAGCTGTACTTACCATTTCATCAGAATTTGGGAGAGACTTTTTCATGGATCAAGAAATTTTTTTTTCTCTTAAATACTCTTAATTCATGAATTATTTAAGTTTAAAATGTTTTGAGGAAAAATTTTATTAAGCAAGCAATACCTGGTTTTGAATAATAAACTGGACGAAGGATAAAATTTCTCTGGGAAAGTCCACAGAGTGAGCAGAACAGACATTTGCTATACGCATTTGCTACATTACCTGGGTGTTTTGTAGAACCAGCCACCTTGGAGTTCTCACTCGCGTGTCACCTGTGTCTATCACTTCTGCAGGAATGACCTGAGATTTGACTACCCCACTTCCCATTTTTCAGTTATCTGTCATGCTGAAGGATGTAATTGGAATGCAGCCCTGTCTTCTTTGTCTAGAAACCATGGCAACAGCCTGACAGTGCAGGACTAAATTGCCCCAGGTTGCTTCGTTGGAATGACAGATTCTTCAGTGACGACCTTGTCTGAAAGGCCCCATTTCAGACCTATCCCTTTATTCTTCTCACTTTTCTGTGCTGACCTTGGGGTTCCTGTCCTTCCCTCTTAGTTCCTCTAACATGAGGGAGATGGACTTAAACAGACTTTGGTAGAGAATTTGCATTGAAGCAAGAATTTTCTCCATGTGAAAGGAAGCAAAAGAACTGTATGCAAATATTTCTGTAAAATGGTAAAGCAAACATAAAAGAGAAAAATCAAAGGCCTGTATTTTGAGATATATTCCATTTTCCATTTTGATTAATTTTTTTACAGTTTATTTTACATCATTTTGTACATTTTTTTTTTCATCTCAATTGTAATCCCCGTGGGTTTCACCATTTTGATTAATTTTACAGTGCCAAGCACTATAAGATAGACACTGCTCAGCACTTATGGTTTGGGAAATATGTACAGATAACTGAAAGCTCATAAATCTATTTCAACCATAAGTTGTATAAGGTTGGGCCCTCCCTGGTGATGCAACGGGTTAAAGCACAGCATTGTGAAGCTATCTGCAGCCACTGTAGCAACAGATCAATCCCCAACCAGTGAGGTGACCCACATGGCATGGCAGACCCCTCATGTTTCGCCCGTAGCTCCCCTCAGCAGTGTACTTCAGTAAATCTGCCTATTCTGCTCCCCAATCTGTCTCTGATGAATCCTTTCAACCTCCCCCAACTCTGGTCTGTACCCCAGTTCTTGTAAGCATAAATAAATAAATCTTTAAAAACAATAGAAGTTACATAAGATCTATAGCATAAAAGCTATAATGCGAAGGATTTCTACCTGTGCCATTATCATAGTCCTGTCCACTTTTCAACCAAATAATTATTTCCTTGAGTTTACGACAAGATTCCATCATTGCATGAAAGTATTTCCGGAGAACTCTGTTGAATAGAAAGGGCTGGGTTTCTGATCCAGCAGCATCTGATTACAAGTGCTCCTCTGTTCTCTCTCTTCATAAATTTCTTTCCTTTTTCTAACATTACATTAGAAGTGTAGATTTCCTGCCATAAGGTCCGTGCGGTATCACTTTGTGTGATACTGACCCGTGAAAGTGCTTTCTAGAGAAATGATCTGTCTCCACTGTCTCAGTCTCCAGCCTCTTAATACAAATCTCAGCTCCTCCATGGCTCGGAATCAGCCAGCTGTCTTTCAAACACTGCTAGGTTAGCCAGCTGCTAGGGAGGAGAGCAGCTTTTGGTCAGTCGATTCCACAAACTTTTATTGAGCAGCGAATTTATGTCAGGCATTGTTACAGGCACTCAGATTAGCACTGGATGTGCAAACAAAGAAGACCCCAAAGAGGAACCACACAGTGTAGTGAGAAAGAGCTAACCCACATCTTTAAATGCTGTCTGCTGTTTGAGGTTCCTGGAATAATATTAAAACCATGATGAGTCTGATTTTTCCATAGTGCATTATACATCCATTCCCCAATGATGAAAGTCCAAATGTTAGCATTTTTAAAAGATCTGTCCTTCAAATGTAGAAAACACTTCTCAGAAAGTAAAAGTGAAGAATAAACACAAGTTAGACACCCACAAGATTCAGAATGAAGCCCAGGGAAGATCTCATTTCAACAAAAATTCTCTGACACAAGACAAAGTTTAGATCCAGGCAGTAGACCATTATTTACTTTAGGGTATTCTTTCCCACCCCCACAAGCTTACCAACATGCTCCCACATTGATCCAGTACTTGATGCAGTATTTCTAAAGTCAGCTTAATCTGAGAAGAATTTTGACTACTAGTCTCACTAAACAGAAACAATTTGGGGCTCCAAGTGATACCACAGTTGCAAGTCACACACACACACACACACACACACACACACACACCCGCCCCCAGCCTATTTCAACACCACTCTTAGTAGACTGAACACACAATGAAATCACCTTGGGTATATTTTACCATTTTCTCCGTGTGCTGACTTTAAGATTTAGACTTCTAAGGAAACTTTAACTGGACTCTCAACAATTCTTCAGCACTTATCACTCATTAATTCATTCAATAGTCATTCACTGATCATTACAATGGGCCAGCTTGAGCTAACTGTTGAGATGCAGGTGTGAGAAGAGTCTCATGCTGGAAAAGCTTCCTCTCCAGTAGCAGCCTAGAGAATTAATTCACCACCATTACTCATTCCAAATGCTTAGACCATATTTTATGTCCAGAGCCACAGTGGTAACTCAGGCATATACAATAACCTCCTCACTAGCTTCCCTTCCTATATTCTTTTGCTG